GAGAGAGAGAGAGATTGCAAATGCCCTCACTGACTCGCACTACACTCAACCAAATGAGCACATGCTCACAAGTTTGACAACATAAGGAAAAGGTGCAACAACGGTAGGCCCCATCTTATGAGTTCCTTTGGAAAGCAAGCAAAGCCAAGGGATGCATTTACCCCTTTCCCATTCCAAAAGACCATGCTATCCAATTGCAGCATCTCACTCATTTAGACTCTTCCAGTGTTCCATAGTGACACATCATTCGAGCCATAATGTTGTGTTCATGTTGTTGGTGACAGAGCTCGCTTTGTGTGTCACTTTGATTTGGGCCTCAATCCACCGGAGACAGGAATTCGTGCACTAAATACTCTCCGAAAGCAACCCCTAAACATCTAAACACCTCAACAACATCATTGATCTTATCCGGGCGGGCCCACCCAACACAACTGCCAATCTAAGTGAGGTGACATAAGATCCAACATATGATAATATCATGGATGCAAGATGGCCTGAGCTCCAATTTCCAAGCTCACATGGAGAAGCAACTTTTCTTGGGTTGATTTGGTCAAAGTTAACTTTGGAAAATGATGCTAACAGACAACTTGGCCTTATCTATGTACATATCTGAAAGCGTTCACACCTTCTGCTTGGCACACAAGTCACGGCCCCCTCCTCTTCTTCCACGCAACAACTCCCAGTACAGACGGTGGCGGCAGTGGCGATGACGTCGGTCCTGAGGCGTCACCTCCATGACAACACGCCCTCTTCTCCTCCATGACGTCGCGCTGCTTTCCTTGAAACTTCCTCTCCCAATTATGCTCTCTGTGCAATTTCCCATACTGCCCCGATCCCCCCTCGGCAGCTGTATAAAACACAGAGCACACCCCAGTCGAGTTAGGGAAGGCGGGAGCATTCGGAGGAGGAAGAGGAGAAGGAGAAATGGAACAGACGCCTGCTGTGGCTTGTGGGGAAGCCGAGGAGTCCCTGGTCGGCGGCACGGTGGTGCGGGAGATGGCGAAGATCCGGGCATCGACCTCCCGGCTCGGAGTGTTGCTCCGGGAGGCGTTGGAGGGGAATTCCACGGTGGGAGCCGTCTTTGAGGAGCTCGAAGGCTCGATCTCGCGAGCCTTCTCTTTGCTGGACCGCAAGCAGCAGGGCGGAGATGCCCCCCCTTCTTCTGGGCACCAAAGTAGCGAGATCCCGACCAAGAAACGGAAGGTGAATCCGGCGGGTGATCGGCGTGGAGGTTGCCGGAGAAGGTAATTCCCTTTAGGCAGCTAAGAGTTCTTACTTTAAAATTGATTAGATGACATCCTTCGAGCATTAAGAGACAGAAAAAATGGTTGAATTTTTAGTTTTCTTAATCGAAGTAGTACTTCTTTCACTAATTCGAACCTTTTCTTCTGTTGGGGGTGGCAGAATACAATCTTCTTCCCTGCGGATCGTCAAATCCAAGACACTGGACGATGGCCAGACCTGGAGAAAATACGGACAGAAAGAGATCCAAAGTGCTAAGCATCCGAGGTATTTTTCCTCTGCATCATGTAATCTATTCCGAGAACAAAAAGCAAGTATGAGGTCGTTGATGGAGTTTGATGTTGCAGGAGCTACTTCAGGTGTACCCACAAGTACGATCAAGGTTGCATGGCGCACAGACAGGCGCAGTTATCAGAGGACGATCCCACTGATTTCGTGATCACATACATCGGGGAACACACCTGCAGGGATCCAACCGTGGTGCCTCCTCAGATGGTCTCTGCTTCCATTTTTCAGGACACCTGCCTAATTAGCTTTGGAGCAGGCGGTCATGGCGTTAGGCAAGAAGCTTCGGTGCCTGCTTCCTTTGCCTCTCAGAAACAAGAGAGTGATGAAGATGCAGCGAGCAATCTGACCACTGCCAGTTCGTCGTCGGGCTATTTCCTGCTACCAGCGACCGAGAATCCGGTGGTGACGACCCCCGACGTTACCTCCGGCTTCCACACCGCGACCGATCTAGACATGGACTTCATGGCAGACACATATCTCGAGGATGTGTTCGGGTTCGATGACGACGAGTTCTTCCGATGAGATTTGGTGCCTTTCTTGTAATACCAGTGGATCTTAACAGCAGAGAAAACCTAGTCTGAGGGCAGCACCCACCATGTTCCCCAGCTATTTACTCAGCAATTAATTGCCTTCGTTCGCGGCGAGGATCTTTCCAGCCATCAACAGCACAGTGACAAGGAAACGCTTGCTATCTTCCAGGACAGATCACATAGCATCCAAGTCAAATGAATGTATTTTCGAGCAGCATTTTCTTCATCTTCAACCTCCTGTCGACAGCCCAACTTTCCGAAGGCTACACCATCTGTATAGTTGCAGAAAGATGCTGACACTTCAGAGCATGTACTTGTTGGTATGCAGCATCTTGATCATGTCATGAAGATGCTGCTAATTACAAGATCTGTAGAACTGTGTAACCAATTTAGAAATAATGATCCAGAAACACTTTTTGTTCTACTCTGATATGCTCCTTAATTTGATGCATATACAATAAGACTGCATAGAATCTGTTTGCTAATTGTTCTGCAATTTACTTTGGCATTACGATGAGCTTCATGACAAAGGTATTATCTCTGATTGTTGTGACAGTGATGGTTGAATGTTCGTCATCGCCAAAGATACCACCTCTCTTTGGTTGTGTGCCACACATCAAATGAAAGACCAGCAGAGAGAACAGCCAGAACATGTAGAAGACAATAAACTAGACCTCTAAACACCAAAAGACATGAAATTTATTGATGAATCTTCATCCCCGGCTTGTCCGAGCCTCAGAGGAAAGGTTGCAGAGTTGGCAAGAGCTACATGATCTTTGTTAGCTCGATCATTCTGAGGTGCATCAGTGACGAGGAAGCACCGACAGGGCAACACAAACACCACCGCAATAATTGAACAAAGATACAAGAAAGCAGAAGCACAAGAGAAAGCGAACACCTTTTTGAATCACGAGGTGTCGCAAAGGTAGGAACACTCTCTAAGATATCATTATAGTACAGTATGCCCAAAGCGATCCAACCTCTTTTGATCCAACAAGCACAACTCCACAATCTCTTAGTCACAACCTTCCAAAATACCATCATCGGATTGGGTGACATCAAACAGTGCTCAGAAACTCTTTGATGTCCCTACTTTTTCTCACCCATCAGTGCTGCTGTGGCTGATGTCTCGGTCGGATCTCGCTAATGCCTTCGACACTTTCGAACACCAATCCCAGGATATTTGTAAGGCCACAGATGAATTCTACTGAAACTTAGTTTTGGATCTTTTGGGTGTCTTTTCCTTAATGGCATCATCAGCCTTTTACTTTGTCCTTGGTTTCTCTGTGGACCAACAAATAGAGAGATCTCACCGGCTACCTTCAATCCTCTAATGGTATCCAGTAGCAAGTGCAAGGACTAATATCTGACCCGAATCCATTTTCCTGTCGGATCTGAATCCACATCCGGATCCTACTATTCCTTGCTGTACACGATCGCTAGAGGTTTTCCATCAATCGGAGAAAATAAACATATTATTGAATACTTGAATCATGAGGACACTATCTAAATTATTATTGTGGCCTATGTTAAGTATGGTAAGATCTTTCCTTGCAGTTGGAAACTATCGACCAATTGAAATTAGATTTTATTTATTTATTTATAAATAATGATTCTTCTAAGAATATAGCATGTGATAATATATGGATTTTTAATGTTTATCTCACATAAATCTACTTGTGTTGATTCTTGTTGATTTTTCATATTCTTAGCTCCTTGCTTTGTGATGAAGCGGATGAAATTACGAGTTATTATATACTTTATTTGGACGCTCTCTAGTGAAAAAAAAAATTCTAGAATTAAACTTCCCCGATATGCTTATAAGAATATCTAGTTATGACAGTTTTGAGAATCATGGAAAACCTATTGCCAATCCACTTGGTGATAGTCGAGATGGGTGGCAATGTTTTCCAAGTATTTTGATTTCCTGAAAATTCCTTCATTTTGGAATGAGTGTTAATCCTTAATCCTACTTGTATTTCCTACTATAAATCACTTGAAATTGTGAAATCTATTTATTGTTCAATATAATTGTGCTAAGTAGGTATGAGAATTAGATATAACTTGGCTAGAATGCCCTCTTACTAATTTTGAATGGTGGAGAGAAAGTGAATGACTTTAGATAGACCAACAAAGTAGGCCTTTTGACGTGATTTGAGTCAAGACCCTCTTGCAACTTTTTTGATTCATTTCGAAAGCTAAAGTTTGGAGAATGTGATTTTATTATTAGGAATTCTAATAGCTCCTATATATTGTGTGATTGTTAGCGGAACAATGACTATTTTGGTGAGGTGAAAGCTATTCAACAGGGGAATGGAGATGACTTTAGACCTGAGAGTAACATTATCGATAGTTCATTCAAATTCTATAGCCACTGTTGATATCTTAAATAATAATTCAGTATCGCCTTGGGGTATTTCTACTTTAATTAAAAATATATTATTTCTTGTAAGGTATTTTTGAGATTGCTCTTTTAACCATAATTAGTGAGAGGATAATCATCTGATAAATTTGCTTGTCAATTTTACTAGAAATTTAAATTTTGATTATAATTGGCAAACAAATATTCTTTGATATTGATTTTTTGGTTCGTTTTGACACGAATAAGAAAGTTTGTATTAGACAATGTTAACTTTTGATTTATAATTTTTTTAAAAAATAAAAAAATCTGGAGACATGCTAACACTAAACTAAGTGTGTAAAGTTAGAGTAATAATAATAAAATAATCTCTTATTAAATCAAAATTGATTAAATATGTAGAAATTGAAATAGAAAATTTAGAAAAGGAGCCCAAACGCGTGCAAACCCTATCCTAAACGTATTCCTCCATCTCATCCCAACATCATTAATGAGTCACCTAATATACAACCAGAATGATTGTTCTATGAGTATTATCATTAAGAATTTGAAGATGTTATACACCAACAATGAAAAAGAAACAAAAGGAACCAAGAGTAAAAAATAAGAAAAAATTTGTCTTTTCTTTCTTCCTCTATTTTATTTATTTTTCTCATAAGTTTCAATAGAATTTTAATGAAACTTTTTTACTATCCCAACCAATAAACAAGTGCCATGTGGCACTATGTAAATGAATGCAATAGCACACTCTCACATGACGCACATCTGCACGGTGATTACTATGGAAGGGATAAATGGATGATTTTATAATTATCTAATATATTTAAAAATAAATCAAATATATATTATTCTCAAACCTATACTCAAATTTTACTCATACGGCTCAACTTTGCTTATTAAGCATTTAATAAGATTTCTAAGGGGAGAGTAAAAGAGTTGGGGGAGAAGTTCCTCAATTATTGATGTGAGACTAGTGAAAAATTTTGGTTTTTCCCATTCAAGTTTCAATAATAAAAAAAAAACTCAAATTTCCTTCAAATAAATAAATAACTTAAAAAATAATTAAATATAAAATAAAATAATTAAAAAAATTACTGGTGCATATACTATGTAGTCAATGAGATGTCTTTTCAACCTCATTTAGTAAAGTAAATATCAATTTAAAGGAAACAAAATAAACTGAGCTACGTTCCTTTTGACCTATACTTCAACTAACTCACACACAGTATGAGTATCTTGATTATTCATGAGAGATTTTAAGGATTGTCATCCCTAATCACGATTGTCTACGAATTCTCTCGTATAGGGAGTCTATTACTAGTGATATGTATAGAATTATATCTCGGAAAAAATATTGTATCGGGTCTCTTTCAGAGCTATGCTCTTCTTATATCTATACATAGAAGCACTAATCACTATAAGGATGAGGTTAGAGATAAACTTCACATCTATATACTAAAGTGTTAATTATTATACTCTTTAGCCAACCAATAAGTTTGTTATTACTATTTTAAACCTCTTTCAAGAGATCTCCTATTATAGAGGATGAGTTTCTATCGACTCATTTTAGGTATAGACCCATCTTCTATTAAATAGGACCTTAGTCCTATTTAAGCCTTTAATAAGATAGTCAACTAGATTATTATCAGTTTTAATATAAAATATAAAATTAACAAAATGAGAATCTAACCATCTAATAGGTTTTTTTTATCTAATTTTTATATCTTTACCCATTTTAGAATTTATAATTTTTTTTATAAACATCTATTGCAGCCCTGTAATCATAATGAATAGAAATAGAAAGAATAGGATTTGAGATCATAGGAAGAGAAAAAATTAGATTATTAAGCATTCTACTTTAGTATAGTAGTATCAAGTACCAGCAATAATAGTTTATTTAGTTGATTGCTAAGATACAACACTTATACAAAAAAGAAATACATATTTAGATGTATATTTAATATCAAAAAAATCAAAAATCTAATTAACATCATTATAGAATTTTAAATTTATTTAAGAGCATTCTTGTGAGCTAAACTGTTTGCTAAACTTGGGTTACTTGTATATCCGGATACAATGTAAAAAATATTATATATAGTCCTATTTGATAGATAAAGAAAAGATCTAATTATTTGAGAATATCTTTCTTAATTTATAGGATTGTTATTATTTTTAACAAGATGAATATTTGGATCATAAGAAGTAAAGACAAAAGAATAATTAGAATATTTATTTATTTTAATTATTTTTTTTAGTAAAGTGAGATTGAAATAGTGATATTAAATTAGATGATTTTTAGATAAAACATTCTTAATGATATCATCTTCAACGAGATCTTTAATATCAAAATGATGAGATGAGAATGATTTAATCTTTAAGATCATATTTAAATCCAAAGTAAAAGTTAAGATGTCATGGAGATAGAGAAAATAAATTTATTCTTTATCCTTTTATAATATATTTAGTTATCAGATTTATTGACTTAAAATCTAAATAATAGAATTATAAAATCAATTTTTTTGTGTCATTGCTTAAGTGCTTGCTTAGGTCCGTATAGAGATCAAATTAGCTTATATATTTTTCCTTCTTATCTAGGCATGATAAATCTTTTGGGCTAGTTCATGTATATCTCTTCTTCTAGCTCTCTATATAGAAATATAATCTTCACATCTGTTTAATAAACAAGGAGTTTACGGATTAAAGCAATAGCAAATAGGACTCGGATGGTGATAATTCATGCTATAGGTGCATCAAAATAATCAATGCCAGTTTTTTGTCGAAAACCTTAAACAATAAGTCTAGTATTATATTTTTTAAGGTATACCATCGGTCCTAATCTTCTTCTTGAAAATTCACTTGCAAGAGATTTAACCTAAGAGGTAAGTTAGTGAAGATCTAAGCATGATTACTAATGAATTTTATTTCACTGTTAATTATCTTTTTCTAGAAAGAAACATCATGAGAGCATATAAGAGATAAAATTATCATCCATGTTTTTTTCAATCCTACCTCTCTTGCTTCTTTTAGGTTCAGGTTGAATGTTATATTCTATAAGAGTTAGGAAA